TGAGATCCGAAAAAGCATGGCGGACGCAACCACAGAGACGGACGGCCTTCAGCTTGTCTGAGAGCTGGGATCTTCTCAAGTTACCATGTCCTTGAACAAAATTGAAAAAACCCGGACTGCAGAAAGTAAACAAAGGAATCAAAGACGTGGAAGTTGCCAACAAAGAGGAACTAAGCAGAACAGCCAATCATGAATCAACATGCAGCCATGATGAGGATGAAGGATATAAAAGAAGGACTCAGGAGAGGGAGAGAGTGCACGCATGTGCACGTGCGAGTGTGGGGTCTGAAGTACTGTACCTGCTTGATCAATAAAAGCTTACGTATAGCATGCATCCCTGGCCGTCCCGACAACACTGTAAGATCTAGAGTTAAATAAAAATCAGAGCAGCTATGTTTCCATCCAAAATGATAAAATATAAAGGTACCCATCCCTATATGATTTAGAAGACAGAGTGGGAAACCACAATCTCCTGCTTTCTCATTCATGACCTCCCAGATTTTAACCTTACACACTGATAGTACAAGTAATGATCTCGTAAGTATGAAAAAGCTCACTTGTTTTGGAAGCTATTTTTTCCACAGTCTTTCTTCACAGATAGACAACTAGTACTTACCACAGCAGCATAGACAAAATTCTTGTTCTGAGTAAAGGACTAGGAGATATGAAGGATGCTTAAACCAGAGCTAGGTCTTAATTTCTCAACTATATCGCAACGGATTTATACTCAAAGCTAACCGTACATAAGTCCCACGATATTTTTAATCAATAAATCCTAAACGCGTTGCATTTAGAATCTCAAAATAAAGAGATTTGAGCAAATGCTTTAATTAAGGCAGAGCCAGAAATTTGTAATTAATATCTGCTGTAGCTTATCTTTGTTTAAAGCTGAGGTCCCAGAACTGGCTGCCCTGTACCCTTTGACACATTCGAGTTAGTCTGAATGGGAACAGTGGCACAGATATGCCCTAGTTAATTTGAATGAAGGTCACTAATGAACACACAGCAAAACATCAGTTTTCTCTTCCCAAAGAGGACTGAAAATAGAAGGACAAAAGTAGCAACATGTTGGTAAAGTCTGATTATTTGTTAAAATGTAAAGGC